TCCGGAAATTCCACCAATTTAAAAAAAAAATATTAAATAATTTAAAAAAAAAAAAATTTAAATAATTTTAGTCATTTTCATCATAAAATAATGAAGTTTTCTTTGAAGCAATGGCATTAATTAAAGCGATTTTAATAATAGAAGAATTTGATTCAGGAATACCCCAAAATAAAATTTGTTGTAATTGAATAATAGGATTTCCAGCAATTTTACCAATAAATTCTAAAAAACTACAATATTTACGAATTTCTTGAAATTTTTTAATTTTAGCTTTTTTCAATAAAGAATTTATTAAATCTTCTTGTTGAATAAGTTTAGTTACTTTTTTAATTGCATCACATTCTTCATTTAATGATTGTGATAAAATTAAATTACATTTAATTAAAGGAGCAGTTGCATAAGTAACCATACAACCATTTCTATTTGGTTTAGAACAAATAAGAATAATATCATTACAAAGAACTAATAATTTTTTTTCTAGTTTTTTTTTATTAATAATTTTAATTGAATATTTTTGAATTATTCTTCTTCCATCTTTAATAAATTCTTCTCCAGTTAATTCTTCAAATCCAAGTAAATTATGTCCAAATTCCTTTAAATAATTAAAATCATTTAATTTAATTTTACTTTTTTGATAAATTACGTCAATAGAATTAATTTTAAATTGACATTCTTTTAACATATCAGTTTGTAAAGGAATTGGTGTTAATTGAATTAAATTTTGAATAAATTGAGTTAATTTTTTAATATGAAATTCAGGGATATCAACTAATTCTTCAATACAATTACTATCATTTTTTTTATCAATTAATAATTTAAATTCATGATTATTATTAAATACTTCTTTAAGATAATTTAATGTATTTTCTTTATAATTTGCACAATCAATAAATTTAGGTAATTCATTTAAATATTTAGTTAATCCATTAACTAATTCATCAAATCTATCACATTCATTTCCTATTTTTGTTGTTTCTATTATTCCATATAAATTATTTATTAATTTAGTCATTTCTCTATCACTTTCAAGTGTTTCAAAATATATCGAAAATAATTCTTTTGCTGTTTTTTCTTTTAATATATTAAAATAAAGGGAATATTTATAAACATCTCTTTCAAGCCAATTATACCAATTAATATATTGAATCATATATTCTGTAAATTCTTTAATTATTCTAAATCTTTCCATAAACATTTCTTTAATTTTAATATCACCTTTTGTTCTAACTAATTTATTTGATACCATTTTTAATAATACTAATGAACTTTTTCTTTCATTTTTTCTTGTTTCTTCTTCATTTATTAATTCTTTTGTTTTAGTTTTATTTATTGGTTGTACTGTAATACCTTTTGTTATATTTCTTGAAAGTGTTTTTGTTCCATGTCTTGAAATATTATTTTTTTGTTGTTTTATTAATCGTTCTATTGCAATTTGATCAGTTTGTTTTATACAACTTCCACCAATTGAATTAGAATGTAAATAATTACTTATATGACGACTTGGAATTGGTGTATTATCTTCTTTTAATTCTTCAGTATCATGTCTTGATATCATTTCTTGTTGTGGAATATCATATGACTCAAGAACAAATGACTTTGTTGGAAGAATTAATTTTGTCATTTGTTCTTTTATTGCAAGAGTACTTGGTGTTTGAGTTAGTGGATTTTTAATTGTATATTTTTCTTTCATTTCTTTTAATTTTTCTTCTACTTCTTCAGGTGATAAATTATTCTTTTCATTATTTATTTCTTCAATATAACTGTCTTTATGTTCAATTTTTGATCGTTCATTAATAGCTGTTCTAAGTGTATTTTGTATTTCTTGTGACTTAGAAATAATGTCAGAATTGACATTAATTAATGATGATGAATCTTCAACAAGTTTATTTATTCTTTCTTTTTCTTCTTTATAATCAATTGCTAATGTTTGTTGTTCTAATATTTGTGTATTAATTACATCTAATCTTTTTAATGCTTCAACTAATGCTTTTTCTTGTTTTGTTTGATTTTGTATTGTTTGTGAAATTAACTCATTATATTTCTTAAACATTTCTTCTAATTCATTTAAACTTTTTCCATTAGTTCCTGTAAATTCTTCTAATTGATTTCTTCCTTTTAAAACTGATGGATGTTTTTCAATTACCTCACTTCTTCCTGCTATCATTCTCTTCATCTCTTTTTTGGTTTTTTTATTTCTTAGTTTTTTTATAATTCTTTAAAATCTATTTAATTTACTATTGGATTATTTCCTTATTTTTTGTAATTTCTTTTTTAGTTTATTTCCTAAAATTCTTTTCTTTCTAAATTTGTTTTCTCTCTTTGTAAGATTCTTTTCGTTTTTAATTTATTCTCTTCTTTTCTTATTCAAATAGTAGCTATTCACTATCTAGTATCTTTTTTTAATTGATTATTTTATAATAAACTGGTATTTCAATAACCAATTTTAATAGTATTGTATCAAAATTTTGAATTTATATTAAATGAAATTAATAATTTATGATATTTGATTTAGATAAATTCCAAAGATAAAGATTATAATAATGGTTAATATTAACTTAAATAAATTTGGTTTTGAAAATACTTATAACTTTGACAAATACTATATTGTCATAAGAAGAAATATTAAAAGGAACAATTATACAAACTTTGAATAGATAGAATGAAATAATATATTTATGAAATAAAAATGAGTTGATATTATTAATTTAAACAAGTATTTGATTCAATATATGTATATACATACAAACATGATTGAATAAAATGACTGTAAACAATGAATAAAGCATATTAAAAAGTATATAACATTGAGTTATAAGATGTTATTCTTATAATTATTCATATATTAAATTGACATTGATTCAATAATATAAATAAATATGATAAATCGATAACTTATTGAGAAAGAAATCAAATGAATGAAGAATTAATACAACCTAAAATCAATACAATTTAATAAATTAACTCTCTTAATGAATTAAATATATATTATTTAAACTAAATATATATTCGAAGAACAATAGAGACAAATAAAATACTTGTTAAAAACAAGAAAATAACAGTGAAGAATATTGATTGGTTGTTTATGAATAAAAATACAAAATAAATTTATCACTTTAATTTTTTAATTTTATTATTAATATTTATTTATTATAATTGTTAATATCATTTGATTATGATTATCTCAATATCATATAAATATGTATAATGTAAAAGTATGATAAATTAATAATACACTATATTTAATAACATATAAAGAATTCTTTTATAGTAAATTTGATTAATTACTGTAACTCTATAACAATATCAAAAATATTTTATTTTAAAATTTATATAATCAAGATAGATTGAATACTATCTTATGACTCATTTAAAAATAAAGTAACAATTTTATATGATTCTTTAAAAAATGAATACTACTCATTCATAAAAAGTTAGATCATTCTTTCATTACTTCTTTATTCTTTTTGTATAAAAATATTAAAAACATTTTGATAATATTAAAGTTACTGATTATTTGGATATTATTAAATGATAAAGAATAAAACATTGTTACCAAAAAGCATTTAGAAATAATCATATATATTCTTTAATATATATTATTCTAATCCAAGTTTGTATCCTTATTAAAATTGAATTTATACCTTTTCATAATAACTCATACATTCACAAAATATAATTTATTTCAAATATTTAATCAAACAATGATTTATTGAGTATTGAAATTGGTTTTAATTACACACTGATTGTTATAAATATACTCCAAATGAATTGTTTTTGAAATTGTGAATTTGAATGAATTAAATAATTTGAAGATAATTTTAAATTTCACATCATTAATGTTATATATTCCACTTTTCTGAAATAAGAAATACAAAACTAAGTTATCAACTAGTGATAACCCTATGTCTATTACACCTAAACTACCTAGACCAACTCAAAGTGATGTAGAAATGCAAATCCATAAGAAATACCCCAAAAGTATTCATAACTTAACTACAACGAAAACAGATAAGATTAATACTAGTAACAAACCAACCACAATTTCTAATATCCCTATTCACTCTATTCCCTCTAAAGCAGAACGTACATTATCAAAACAGTTCAGTCCAAAACCAACAATTGAGTCAAGAAATTATAGTGAAAAACAAAAACCAAAACATCAAATCCTTCAACTTCTTTCAATGGAACAAAAGAAATCAAAACAAAAACAAAAACCAATTGAATTTAAACAAGAAATTGTAAAATTCCCTCCTTTAAACCCAATCAAAAAAGTAGAAAAATCAGATTATTCCAAAACAGCAGCATTTGTTAATGACATAATGAAATTTAAAGGACTTATTAGTGATCTTTCTGATGATCAAAAAGAAGTAATAGAATTAGCTGAAAATGAAATTTCATTCTTCTTTTCAGGTGCTGCAGGTACAGGCAAATCATATGTAATGAAAAAATTAATTACAATATTGAAAGAACTTCATCCAGAACAAGGATCAGTTGCTATCACTGCGTCTACTGGTATTGCAGCTTGTAATATTGGAGGAACGACATTACATAGTTTTGCTGGAATTGGATTAGGTGATCAAAGTGTTGATATATTATATACAAAAGTAATTAAAAACAGAACTGCTTTTGAAAAATGGCGTAAAGTAGAAGTACTTTTAATTGATGAAATATCAATGATTTCAGGTGATTTATTAGATAAATTAAATGTTATTGCACAAAAAATAAAAAGAAACAATTTACCATTTGGTGGAATTCAAGTCATATTTTCAGGTGATTTTTTCCAATTACCTCCAGTGTCAAAAGGAAAAGAGGTAAAGTTTGTATTTGAGTCAAAATGTTGGAAAGAAGTTATTAAAAAATGTGTGATTCTTCATACACAACATCGTCAAAGTGATTTAACATTTATAGAAATGTTAAATAACATAAGATATGGATTTGTAACAAAGAAAACATATGAAATTCTTCAAGAATGTCAAAAACGTGATCTTGGAGATAAAAAGAAAACATGTCTTTTTTCTCATCGACTTGATGCTGAAAATTATAATAAAAGAGAATTATTAAAACTAACTAGTCAACCATATATTTATAATTCATGTGATGTTGGGTTAGAACGTAATAGAGGTCCATTAAAAGAATGTCCAGCACCAGAACAATTACCATTAAAACTTGGAGCATTAGTAATGTTATTAAAAAATACACAACCAGAAATTGGATTAGTTAATGGAGCTGTAGGAAAAATTTTAAGATTTGAAGAAGTTAAAGTAAAACATAAAGAAAATAGAGAACAAAAGGATTCGTATGCAGCAGACTGTAATATAAAAAAAGGAGAAAATGAATTTTATTTAAATAATAAACTTTTTCCTGTTGTTGACTTTGGAAAAGGAGTTATTGTAACAATTACACCTGATATTTGGGAAATTGAATCATCAGGACTTATAGTTTCAGCTAGAATTCAATTACCATTAACACATGCATGGGGTTTAAGTATTCATAAGTCTCAAGGATTAACACTTCCTGCAGCAGAATTGAATTTAGAAAAAGTTTTTGAAGCTGGACAAGCATATGTTGCATTAAGTAGACTACAATCATTAGAAGGACTTAAAATAGTTGGCAAAATACCAGGAGCAGCAGCATGGAAAGTTAATAAGAAAGTTCTTGAATTTTATAAAGAGATAGATAATCAATTCCAAGAAATAGAACCGTCTGAATTATATTTTAATCAAAATAATACAGAAAAATCAGAAGCAACAACAACATCATCAACATCTATGATAACTAATAGAGGTGTAACAGTAATTAAAATAAACCCAACACTATTAAAAAAATATTCAAAGTAATTAAAATTTATGTTTTAAACTTTATTAATGTTTAAGTTAATAAAAAGAAGAAATAAACAACACTAACTAAGATTCATTGATGTAAATACAGAAATTAACCAACAAATTGATAAAAATAATTCTATAAGTACATTAAATATAAATGAAGAACGACTAAAATGAAAGAGTTCTTGAACTATTGAAGTTGGATAATGAATTAAATCTATAAGTGTATATGTTGAAAATAATAATAAAAGAAGTGAAGTTGTAAATATAATAATTCTTCTAAGAACTCTTGTGAAGTGATAAAAAGGATCAAGAAGATTATGAAAGAATGGAATAACTAATAAAACTATATGTATCATTAAGTCATTTATTTTCCACCCACATTGTGATAAATGTCTTGGATAATATCCTTTGGATTTTACTACTAATTTTACTGGTCTAATATCATCACAATTAATTAAATTTACAGTCATTGCAGTATCAGGAAATTGAAGAAATAAATTTATCACAACTAACACAGTTCCAATTATTATTAACTTCGTCAAATTTCTCATTCTCTGATTTTTTTGTTTTTTCTTTCGTTCTTTTTGTTTTTTCTTTTTTTTTTTCTTTTTAAGTTCTTCTTCTTTTTAAACTAAAATTTGTCTATTTTTATTTTTTTAAAGAAAAGATTGGAACAGTAGATATTACTATTTTAAATAATTAATAAACTATTAAAATAATTATGAAATTAATTACAAAAAGAGGATTATTTTCCTTGAGAATTCCACTGAAAGAGAAGAAAAAAATTAAAGAAATGAAAAAAGAGAGACGAAGATTGAGAACTGAAAACTGAATAATACAATAGAAAGGAACGATGTCTAAGAAAAAGATTCTTTTAAAAGTAATTATTCTTGGTGATTCAGGTGTTGGAAAAACTTCTTTAATGAACCAATTTGTTAATCATAAATATAGTTCTGTCTATAAAGCAACTATTGGTGCTGACTTCTTAACAAAAGATCTTGTTGTTGATAATCATGAAGTAACAATGCAAATTTGGGATACTGCCGGAAATGAACGATTCCAATCCCTTGGAGTTGCTTTCTACAGAGGTGCAGATTGTTGTGCTCTTTGTTATGATGTCAATGACCCAAAAACATTTGAGTCTTTAAACAACTGGAGAGAAGAATTCCTTGTTCAAGCTTCACCAAAGAACCAAGACCAATTCCCATTTGTTGTTTTAGGAAATAAAGTTGATACTTATGAAGGAAGTCCTGATGCTATTAAGAAGAAGGCTGAACAATGGTGTTCAGAACATTTCAATATTCCTTTCTTCGAAACTTCTGCTAAAAATGCTACCAATGTAGATGCTGCTTTCCAATCAATTGCCCAAGCTGCTATTGCTCAAAAGGGAACTGATACTGATATTTATGTCATGAACCAAGTTAATATTGATCAGCCTGCTCCTCAAGCTCAAAAGTCTGATTGCCCTTGTTGATCTATTTGAATTTTGGGTGAAGTTTCATTAGTATATGTTTTTCTTTTTTTTTCTTTTTAATAGTTTTTAAGGTATTTCATTATAAAAAGGATATCAAACAGTATATTGCTCATAAGCTAAGTAGTCAAAAAGGATTATGAAAAGTATTAAACAATGAAGTAAAGTTATGTCAACAAATAAAAAAACTATATAATTTTTACAATTATATCTCAATTTCATTAAGATTGTATAAATAATATCTAATAAAAAATTACTTACTTATTTGAATGTATTGAAAAAAAAGCAATATGATAGAAGTATGTTATTACTCAATTCTCTGAACTAACAAGCTTTGTCATATTGATACAACTATTTTTAAATCATAAATAACGTATATTTTTTACTTTAATTTCAAATAAACCACATTAATTATTTTCATTTCACTTCAATTACTATGAAATGTTTTGGTGTGAAATATTCTGTGAACCATCCTGTTCCACAAAGTGAATTTGATATTCCTTTATATTCAAATGAAAATTGTTTACAAGATGATTTTGTTTTATTATTTTCTTTACAAACACGAATATCATCTATTCCAAATATAAACAAATAATTACTTAATTGATTATATACTTTAAATGCATATTGTGGTTCTTTAATATCAAATTTCTTCATTCCTTTCATTCTTCCATTTGATTTTAATGAAAATACAAATGATTTTGAATCATTTATAAAATCATCAACTTTATCAATTTTCTCATTAACATATCCTCCAAATTTATTTTCTTCTTCATCTTCAATAATAATTATTATATGTTCTTTATTCATTATTCTTTGATCAAATACTGATGTATTTCTATTCCAATCATCTCTATCTGAATCAAATAGTATATTATTTATTCTTCTTTTGTTTTAATAAAAAAAATGTTTTATTTAGTGATGATAGGTATTTTATTTATGTTATTAGTTATTATTTTAAGGTATAAAAAGAATAATGTTGCTTTTAAGAGATTTTGCTTTAAGAAAAAAATGAAAAATATATTAAAAACATGAATTTAAAATTAAAATGAATTTTTATTTATTTTTAAGAATCATATTTGCACTTAGTACTACTTTTCAACACCTTTTTATTTATTATTGTTATAAAATGTATTTATGTATAGCTATACTCTGAAAAATCATATTATTAATGTATCTTTATCAATAATCTTGTAATGATGAATATTTTAAACCAATATAAAAAATTATTATTCACTAGTATTATTATTGAAATCTTTTTCAAACAAGTCTTTGTTACAAACACTGTTCTATTAATATTTAACGAAATTATTTTTGAATAATTTTTATAAATATTTAAAGAGTAAAAAATGATTTATCACTTTAATACATTGAATAAATCTTTAATAAGGAATATTTAGCTAAATTAGCATTTCAATATTTTTTTCCTAAAATAATTGTGATGAAGAAATAATCTTTTATTAATAATACAAAATACATTTTATTCATAAGAAATTTGTCTATTACAATAAAATCCAAAACAAAAAAAAAAACAATAGTAATTACAAGTCAATAATACTATTGAAATCATAAAAAATTAAAGTCTTATTAAATTAATAATCAATTGATTAGAATAATATATTACTACCTAGTTAAAATATGCATGAATTTATTCGTTGTATTTTATCAATTATTAAGAAAATTAAAGATATTACAAAAAAAAACACACAGAAACTATACCTTTCAAAGTTTCTGTAAAAACAAACCAATGAATATACAAAAGAACAAACAAAATTATTTAAAATGAAAATAAAAACAAAACGATTAAATGAACAAATACTAATTAGCCATTCAATTTATTCAGAAGCTTTAAGAATATCAGAATCTCCTCCATCAATAATAGATAAAACAGAGACAGAGAAATATCTACCACAAGCTGTTCCAAGATCAACATTAGATCCAGAATAATGGACAACTTGAACTTTACCAAGAACAGCATAATATTCAATTTTAGCTCTTTCTAATGGTGGGCAGTTAGAAGAAATAATAACGAGTTTACTCTTTCCATCACGAATGGTCTTAAGAGTAGCTTTGGTTCCAAGGACATATTTACCACTCTTAGTGACAAGGGCAAGTTTTGAGTTAACTCCTTCTTGAGTTTTCTTGGCTTGTTTTGTACTTGACATCCTTTGGCACTGACAAATTTAATAAGTTCATTAAGGTCATTAAATGGAGATAGGGTTCAAAGTCGATATATCTCATGTTTATCCTTTTTACTATTATTTAATAGTAATTAAACCATTAATTATAGTTATGCATGTTTCATATTAATTTCAATTTATTACTTTATTTTCCAGTTCTATGTTTTTAATTTTTTTATTTTTGAAGAATGAAAAGAAATAACGAAGATCGAAGAATGTCAATAGAATGGAAAATAACAAACGACACTGTGAAGTATGTGGAAAAGAGTCTAAGTATCAGTGTCCTAAATGCAATATTTTATATTGTAGTATAGAATGTTATAAAGCACATAAAATGAATTGCAAAAAAAAAGAATCACCTTTTATACCACTACAACAAATGAATGATGACACAATTGGAGAAGACCTAATGTTGTTGAGTAAAACACAGTCATTTGTTCATGCACTTGAATCAAAACGGAAGTACAATACATTTCTAGTGAAAAAGTCAAAAAGAAATAGAAAAAGAAATGAAAATAAACCAAAGAAAAATAACCAATCTTCGGAAAAGCATCAACAACAAACTCCCCAATCTGAGAAAATGAAAACCCAAAACGAAAATGATACTATAACGAAAAAGGAATTTATAAATTCAAAAGAAACTAATGAGAAAAAAGAATAAAAAAAAAACAGAAGAAAGAAATGGATAAAAAAGCCCAGTTTAGTTTAATAATTTAACAAGTAAATTTGTACTTTTACTTTTGTTGATTTTCTGAGTCTTTTTGGATTATTGTTTCTGTATCTTTTTTAATTGACTTGTCTTCATTTTTAATTGATCTATTCTCCCTTTTGCTTGAGTCACGTTTTGGAGAAGGTGAACTTCTAGAAAAAGAAGAACTAGAATCTGAACGATGGCGATGTCTAGAATATCTTTGAGAATGTCTTGAATAAGGAGAACGAGAACGTGACCTTGAGTCTGAACGAGATGATGAATGTCTATGACGTCTACTTGATGACCTTGAATGTCTTCTTGAATAAGGAGAGCGAGAACGTGATCGAGAACTATACCTTCTACTATAACGTCTTCTTCGAGAAGAAGATCTATTTCTTCTTCTATAACGTTTTTCCTTACAATCACGTGCCCAATGTCCAGTTTTACCACAAAGATAGCAAACATCATTTTCACGAGATCTATCTCCTCGAGCCTGTTCAACAGAAACGTGTCTTCCTTTTATTGTAATATCAATTTTATCATCAATTATTTTTTTACCATCTTCAGCATTTGTGAATGTCTACACGTGTCAGTACGAAAAATGATTTTTATGATTAAAGTTGATTATACAATCATTAATAATAATCACAAATTTCTTTTTACCATTTGACATATTTATTTTATGTTCTTCAATAGAAGAACTTATTTATAATGTAAATGAAAATTTAAGAAACGTTAATAATTCAAAAATGAACAAACAACAAAACCAAAGTGTGACTTTATATCAATTGTTTCAATTGATCCATATTTTGAAAATGCATCGTTCATTTCTTCTTGAGTAACACCATCAGGTAAATGACCGACATATAACTTAATAGAACTCATTAGAATGATTATAATTACTAGATAACCCTTTTTTATTTTTAATTTAAGAAAAGCAAAAACAGAAAAAAAGAAGAAGAAAAAAGGAAATAAGTAATAAAAATAGTAAAAATTATATTATTGCTTTTTTCATAATAAAAAAATATAAAATTAAAAAATTAAAAATGAAAAAATTAAAAAAATTAAAATGAAAAAATTTTATTTTTATTCTTCTTATTAATGCAAACACCAAGTCCTCTTGTTTCAACAATGAAAGCATTTAATCAACATGAAATTGAAAAAGGAGAAATAGTTGGTAGAGAAAAAGAATATGAAGAGTTAAAGACATGTATTCGACAATATGAATTATTTCCACATTTTGGATTAATATTAATTCATGGTGGATCTGGAGTTGGTAAAACAACAGTTGTTAAAGAAGTATTAAAAGACAATGAATTTTTAAATGAATTAAGAGTAAAAAGAAGAACAGTATTTATAAATGTATTATTATGTACAAATAAAAAATGTTTTATTAGATCATTATCAGAACAATTGTTTGGTGAAGAAAAAACATTTAAAGAAATTGCATCAGAATTAAATAATGAAACAATTCCATCTATTCTTGTATTTGATGAAATTGATAATTTAAAAAATAAATGTAATGATATGTATCAATGGTTATTACAAGCATTATTTGGAATTAAAATTGCATATAGATGTGTAGTTATTGGTTTAGCAAATGAAACACAAGACTATTATTCAATGGCAAATGACTTTGCACGTTCACCATATACTGCTCAATTGTTATATACAACAAATAGTCTTGAACAAATTTGTGAAATTATTAGAACTAAAACAAATAATACTTTTGATTCAAAAGCTGTTGAATATATTGCAAAAGAAGTTTATAGAAAAGAAGGTGATCTTAGAAAAGTATATTCTGCATGTACATTAGCTATTCATTTAGCTATTCAAGATAATTCACCTGTTGTAAAAATGATTCATGCTATTAAAGCAAATGGAATGAATAATGGTGATACTTCAACAAAAGATTTTCTTTCAAGAATGGGAAAATATCAAAAATGTTTATGTGCATCGTTATTCTTTTGTCAAAATAGAAATGGAGTAATTGGAATAGGTGAATGGTATGAAAAATTTAAACAATTGATTGATTCTATTAAGATTAATCAAAAACATTTTACTATTAAAGAATTTAGAAATGAAGTATCAATTCTTGCATCTCAAGGTGTTGTACGTAAAGTTTGTAATTCGTCATTAACAAATATTGCGTATGATCATATTAGTCAAGTGACACCAACTTATGATAAATTAATGATGATAGCTATTTTATCAAAAGAACCTGTATTAAAACCAATTATTGAACAATTAAAACAAATGTCATTAAATTCAAATTAAGTAATGTTAATTGTATTAATTTTATTTCAATTAGATTACAGTCATTATAATATAACAAAAAAACTTTATTCTTCTTTTTTATAAACAAAACCTTTTTTTCTTTTTTTTTATTAATAACATATTAATTTAAATATCCTAATTTCTTACAACATAAAAATTGCGTTGGAACTTCATTCATTGCTGCTGTAGCAAATGCAATTTCAGGATTTTCTACATGAGGACCATCTACTACTTTCTGGAAATTTACAAAATTAAAATTATCAAACTTTGATTGTCCTAATTCATCATCAAAATTTTCCATTTTATCAAATGGTCCATCTCCAACTCCAATTGTTACAATAGATAATGGATAATTTGATGCATTCTCAATTGCTGCTTTAGTTGCTCGTTCTGCATCAACTTGTCCATCAGCAATAATTAAAAGAATATGATATTGTCTTGTACGTTGAACAATTTGTACTGCTTTATTAATTAAAGGTGCAAAATTAGTTGGTCCAGAAAGACGTACACTTGGTGTAATTTCATTATATCGTTTTAATACTTCTTGGAATCCATTACATGGTGTATCGTTTGGCATAAAAGAAAAAACTGATTTATCAGTTGTTGTTACATCACCAAACCCATAAACAGGAATAAGATTATCATCATCAAATGGTTCTAATGTTCTTCCAATAATATCAATAACTCGTTGATATGGATTCATTACATTTTCAAACAACCCATGAAGACTATATCCATTAAAACTTTTTGCTCCAGTCCATGTATTTGACTTAGTATAATCAATTCCAATAATTAAATTAGAACTTTCTAATCCTGCTTGACGTAATCCATCTTGTAATTCATCCATTGATTGATAATTACCTTTTAAATTAGCTTTTCTAATATCAGGATTAGATGAAAATCGTTGTTTATTTGATTGTGCAGAACTTAAAGAAAGACCCATTAAGTATTGATTTATTAGATAAAAACTTTTTAAGATATGACTTTTTTCAATTCTTCATTCTTTTTTTTTCCTGACTTTTTCATTTAATAAAATATTTTTATAAAATTTAATATTTTGTTTCTCTAAAAAAATAAAAATAAATCTTCCACGTAGATAATATCTGGATTGTTAATTTGACAAAAAAATATGAAACAAAAGATTAACAAAGAAATTCATAATGAAAAGAAATATATTTTAATGAAGATAAGATTGTAATAATATTAGTTCAGAAAGTTTTAATGAAATAAAATAATAAATAATTATAATAATAATACTATTAATATTAGTTATTTCATAATTAATTTCAATATAATTTCTTATTACTATTTAAACTATTTCATTATAATATTATTTTATTTTTCATATTAATTCATTAAAAACATATTTTTCATTCATACTTCAATGTATTATATCATTAAACACTCTATAAATGATTTATTTTCACATTTCTAATGATTATATCATATTTTAATTAATAGTATTTGAAATGGAAAATAAATCTTTTTAATATTAAACTACTTCTTAGTGATTTTACATTTCCACTTAATAAATTTTCATAACTTATTAATTCGAAGTAGTTTTAGTACAATTGGACTTAATTTTATTCCTTTAAAAATAGTTGTAAGTTATAGATTAAATGTATTAATTTCTTATTTTATTTCTTTACAAAATTGGAGGTAAATAATTGTTGAAAAGATGATGTGTTTTATATAATTCAAGAGAAATTCCAAAAGCTGAAGAAAAATAGTTCAGACCACTTCTTGGTCAAACATATTTATACTTTATAAATGTTAATTAAAATAAAAGTATGTTTAATGGTTTTACATTTAATGTGTCTATTGAACCAAAGAAGTATGTAATTGATTTAAACATTTATTGTTTACACTTAGAATAGAATAAACTGATTTTATTAGTTAATTAATATACATCAAAGAGATTTCAAGGATTAATTGAATAAGATAAACCACAGACTATCAATGTTTTAGATTAACAGAGAGTTATGAGGATATTTATCAAAGGATTTTATTAATTTAGAGAATGTTAGATTCAATACATAATATCATCTAAATGATTTTGTAATAATAAGAATTACTTTCTTTAAAATAAAATAAATGTTAAATTGAAAAAATTTCTTTTTGTTAATTGTTGAGTTTATTTACTCCTCAAAATGAAAATTTTTGTTAGAAAGAAAAATGGAAACAAATCAAAGAGATGAAATATTTCTTTAACTAGTAAATTCAGATGTTAGAAATTATTACTGAAGTCTTATCAGTTATTATCAAATCAACTATATTATCTAGCATTTCTGTATTTACACTCTTTACGTATATTCGTTCAGATTATTTTAAAGAACATTTACATATCATTGCTGAATTGTTTGAAAAAAGAAAAATAAGAAAACGCAAGGATAAAGACCTTTTATTTCCTCAAAAATATGTTCAAATTACTCGGTCTGATATTCCATTACAAAGTGTATGGTGTACATTAACATATTTTAATGACTCAAAACAAAGTAAAAAATTAAAAGTTAAAGTAGAAGGAAAAGTACTATTTCTTATTGACGGACTAACAATTGAACCAATTCCTTTAACTAAAACAATGAAATTAAGTATTCAAAGAAAACCAAAAAAAAGAACTTTTTATCATTTTTTTGAAAGTGAAAGTGAATGTGTTACACCAGAAGAAGAAGCTTATAATTTATTTAAAAGAGCACATTGTGATACATTACAAAAAAAAATTGAATATTTATCTAAAATATCACTTGAAGAAATGACATTAATCAAACGATATAAACGTCAAAAATTTAAAAGTAGAAATTCTATTCTTCTTGAAAGAATTGACCCAGAATTAGGAATGGGTCATTGTTTATTATTACATTTTAATAATGATTATCTTTTAGAAGAAATATATTATGAATTAAAAAAAGCAATTAAAGGAATTAAATATCAAAATATTATTCGTCCTCATTTTTCTTCTTTATTAAGTAGATTATCAGAAAAAGCTGTTTCAATGGATAATTCTCAAATGCATTGGTTTTATGGAATTAATTTCTTAGTTCATAGATTATTCTTTCAATTCTTTGATAGTAATAGAATATCAAGTAAAATAAAAGAGAAATTTAAAGAGAAAATAGGATTTGCAGTATTACCATCAATGGTAAAAACATTAGAAATAACTGATGTTGTAATTGGTCCTAAATTACCAATTATATCTAATCCAAAAATATCTCATTCTGATATAACTGGTAAAACAATTATTGACGTAGATTGTGATTATACCGATGGATTTCAAATGACTTTAGAAGCTACTTTACAAATTCCATTAAAAAATATTACTCATGTAAAAGCAACGTTAATAATTAAATCATTAAAAACAAGAATTAAATTTATGTGTCTAAGATTACCAAGTGAGAGAGTTTGGTTAGGATGTGAGGATGAGCCTGAAATGAATATTATTACTGACATTAAAATATCTGGCAAAGAAGAGAAAGAAAAAAAAGAAGAAAAAAGTGATTCAATGGATACTATATCTAAAGTCATTGTTTACTTTGTTAAGAAAGAACTTATGGTAAATACTTTTACTGTTCCAGTAATGCAAAGCTTTCCTATTCCTAAAAAGAAAAAACTTAAAAAAAGTCATCCTGTTCCTTCATTGGAATGTGTTCCTGGTTCAGTTGAACAATATAGAAGAACTAGAAAGATGTTACGTTCTACTTTAAAGAAAGAAGAAAAAAAGCTTGACCATCATGATGATTTAGCATATATTAATTGAATTTGTTCATTTAATATTTGAATAAAAAAAAAATATAATTTACTTTTTAAAAATTGTATAATAAGTATTTGTGTAAAGCATAATTTAGACACGTTTTAATAAAATAGAAGAATGGAATTTTTCTTTAATGACCTCTTTCTAAAATGTCAAGAGCTGTCGATAATTCTCCATTTGCTTGAATTAAAGCACTTAAATTTTCTTCATCATTTAAAAATCCCATTTCCTTTAAACTTTGTAATTGGCTACTATATCGTTGTCTTGGTGGAAGAGTTGAGCTAGGAGATGGTATTGGAACATAAAGAGAAGGTGTTTGATAATTTTGTGCTGGTAGTCCAAAAGAGTTATATCCTGATACTGGGTTATTGCCAAAAGAAAATAGTCCATTATCATTCATAAGTTTGTCTGACGTTCGTTCTTCAAATAAATTGAATGGTTGGTCAAGTGGTTTTTCCATCTTAAATTGGTCATTTGATACTTCTGGATTAAATTTTACGTTTGGTTTCAATGCATCTTCTAATGGTTCAAATCCGTTTACTAAACGAACTAATTCATTATGACCTCCAGGTAAATTTTCAACTTGATTAATAGCATTGTCTGCATTCATTAATGCTTGATTCATTAATTGAGGGTTTCTCATCATTTTCATCATATTTTTTAATTCTTTAGGGTCATTGATAATATCTTCCATTTCAGGGTGTTTCTCAAAGAATTCCTTAAAAAGACCATTTTGAAGAAATAATCTGATTAACGTTGGGTCATTTAAAAAGTCATCACTTGGACTATCACAACTTGTATCATTAAGTACAGAATGAAGTGGTTGTTCTTGTTTTTCAATTCGTTCTTCTTTTTCTTCCTGTTTTTCTTGTTTTTTCTTTTTTTGAATAAATATAATTTTACTTCCTTCTTGATATCCTTTTTATTATTAGAGTTTTATTTTTTTTTTAATAAGACTAAATAAATGATTAATATATAACAAACCGATTGTAGAAAATAATGAGCTATCAGTTAATTTATATCCTCGATATATTAATGTAATGTCTGAGTATAATGACTTTAATTTACTTGCAATGAGTTGATGTATTTGTCCAATAGTAATTGTATGTGTCTCTTCGATATCAATACTTTCTTGGATAGAATTACTAACATTGCAAAACAGTACTTTCATCTCAATCTGTTCTTTCTTAGTTTCTTACTCTTATTAGTTCGTTTTTACTATTATTTATAATTTATAATACTATAAATTTACTATTTATTAAATATACTTGAAAAAAGGAAAATTTTATATTTTTGCAATGAATTTTTTATTTCTAATTCTTTGCTTATCATTTTTTAATTAAGTAATATCATTTTTAAGATCAATAGATTAAGAAATGGCAGAACGAAAAGCAATAAATCGATATATCCCACCTGATTTTGATCCAGAAATTCATAAAAGTATTAATGGGTATGGAAAAGTTTCACATTTAAGAAAAAGAATCAAAAGTAATGGAACAATGATTATTCGAATTGAATTGCCTTTCGGGATTTGGTGTGATGGATGTAAAAATCTCATAGGAAAAGGTACTCGTTTTAATGCAACAAAACGACAAGTTGGAATGTATTATTCAAGTAAAGTTTTTGAATTTGAGATAAATTGTAGAGATTGTCATTCAGTTATTACACTTCAAAGTGACCCAAAAGTTTGTTTGTATGAATAACTTCATAATTTATATATTAATTTATTCTATAGAATACTGATTATGTTGTTACTCGTGGTGGAAGAAGGCAAATGAATAAACAATCATCTCATTCTTTTCCTTTAACAAACTCAAAAGAAACAAAAGATGAAATGGAACTCCTAGAATATAATCAGAAAAAAATTGCTCAAAGAGAACAACAACAATCTTTATTAGATTCATTATATTTACAAGAATTAAGTTCAAAACAAGATTTTGATATTAATTATCAATTAAGAAAATTAAGGAAGGTTTCAATTTTACTGATATATTAGATCAACACATTACTTACCTTACAGAAAAAAGACGAACAACATTGTATCAAAAAAGTTGACTATCCTATTGTTCTTGATTAACATTATATAATATTATAGAGTTGTAAGCATTGGATTATACGTTCAGTAGATAAACGTTCTTATTTATGTCAAATGGTAAGTTTCTTCATTCCAACTTATTATTTTTGGAAAGAAAAGACAAAAACAATAAAAATTACTAAATTAAATTTAAGTAGATATTGATTTTTCTATTTCTTGTTATTTATTTGAGATTATTATTTTCACTCTCTTCAGAATCATTTTCATGAAATACTTTTATTTTTCTTATTTCATTCTTAATTATTTTATTATTCAATTAGATATTTCATATTATTCATTTTATCTTTTATCATTATTTAAAAATAAAATTATAATATCTTATTTTTTGATTGTATTTACTATTCATTCTTCTATTTATTAGAATTATATTGTAATTTAATTTATTCTATTAATTTATCTTATGTTATCTTAGTGAATGTTATCCATTTCTACTGTATTAATAAATATTATTTTATCTTTTTATCTTTTATAATTATCAATTTGTCATATTATTTATTTCTATTTGGTTTATCTTCTCTATAAATATATTGTCTTTCATTAAATATTCTCTTTTATTAATTATTTATTGTTTCAATTCATTGAATATTTCTTTATTTTCTATTCTTCTTTTGTTTTTACCATTTTTATTTGTGTTGTTTAATTTCATTTTATTCTCTTGTTTTATTCTCTATTTCTTCTTTATATTTATATTATATTATATTATATTTTAGTTATTCTCATCATTTGAATATTCATTTATTAATTCATGTTTAATTCATATTTTCTTATTTGCATAATATTTTAATATTATAACTTCATTTTATTTTATAATTACAAATAATACAATATTTCATTTATTATTTGATGTAATTATTGACTTTTTTTAATTCATGTAAATATATTATTTACTTCATTAATTTCATTGTTTATATTCATTTCTTTTTATATTTATATTATTCATTATTTTATTTGTTATTTTCTTATCATTTCATTCAATTTACTAATATATTTCATTCTATTTGTTATTTAAACTACAAATAATGAAATAATAGAGAATAGAAATATAATAAATGATAAGAATGATGTATGAAACACAAACAAATGAAATTTAAAATCAAAACAAATAACAAAATAAACAATAATGAATAGTAAAGAACAAATAATCATTGAAAATAAAAGTTAAAATAAATATGAAAGAAACAATGAAAAGATAATCAAAATATAAGACATAAAACAATGAAATAATTAAAGAAATAACAAATGTGAAAATACACCAGATAATACAAACAAGAATAATACAAGAATAATATAATAACAATGGAGAATAGAATAATTTCATTTCAATAATAGATAGAACAAGAAATAAGAAACACAAATAGAAATAACAAATAACAATAATTAGAAATAACAATGATATGAATAGGAGGGGCACGAAAATTAGCAAAGAAAAATGAGTCTAAATAATTTACAAAAAAAGAAAAACGATGCAAAATATTTTGCATCCATAGAATATTCTACTTATTATATTTTGCTCCTAAAATAAAAAAAATAATAAAAGTATGATAAATATACAATCTGTATATATTTATGTTTATATTTTATAATCATTTGTATTCATTTTGTATGAAATATTAATGAAATAGATGATTTGATGAATCATATTTAATTATTTTTATTCTTTTTATTCTTTTATTATTATGTTATTTATCTATCGTATTTTTATATTTATTTCTCTGTTTATATTATTTATATCATTTTATTCTTCTTATTATCTATATATTATTATATTATTCTTATTTTATGTTTTTTATGTTTATATTATTTAGATTTTCTTATTGTTATTCTTTTATATTTAGTTGTATTTGTTTATTTGTTTATTCATCTTTATCATTTTTATATTATTATCATTTATATCTATTTTCAATTTATATTTATTCTCTTTTGTTTTATATTAATATTAATTTTATCTTTTATACTTTGATTTTATTATTATATCATTGATTATCATTTCTATATTTATTTATCATTTATTCTTATTATTCTTTTGTTTTATATTCTATATCATATATTCATATCATATTCATTTATATTTTATCACTTATTACATGTTATAATAACATAACACATATGATTGATTATATAATAAACATCATGTTTAAATTATACATATAAATAATAAACATAAAAAAGAGTAAAATATTTTTCATTAATAAAATAATATTAATTATTTTAAATCATTAAATTAGACACTTATTATTGAATATATCTCATTTTTAC